AGTAATCTTATTCAGCACCAAAAATTACATATAAACATATTCAAACTCAGACTAGTCTGCAGACTTCGGACCAGACTTGGACCGAACTTATAATTGAGTCAGGTCTGGTTTGAAGTTTGAAATTTGGTCTGATCCCGGACCGGACTCGGACCGGATCAGACTCAGACCAGACCAAACCCAAACCAGACTTAGAAGCACCCAAAATTATATTCAAACTCAAACTAGTTTGCAGACTTTAGACCAGACCCGAACCAAACTTATAATTGAGTTTGAGTCTGGTCTGAAGTTTGAAATTGATAAAATTTAAAGTCTGAGTCTGGTTCAAAGCCGGACCAGACCCGAACCAGACTTAGGAGCACTATTATTTGTGAACTGCATACTATCTATATACTTAAGCTAGCCTACTTTTATAGATTTATAACGTTCAAAGATTTCAGCTATTACTTTAATCTGATGTGTATTAACAGACTACCTAACAGACTCACAAACTAAGTGAGAATCATAGCCACGAAAGTTATGAAAGACAACTGGGATAGGTGTTTTCTATGGCTTTATTTGGAGTTTGAGGTTACAGGTATTGTGAGCTGGCCCTCGAAACTTACCTGTAATATGATAGTGATTCCAAACTTTATCATTTTTATCTATATCGAATTTGTCTTTACAAATCTAACAATTATCTTCTTTAGCAAATTTTTTCTTATCTTCTTTAGTCTCAATTCGGTCAGCTTTGAAAGCTAAAACCCTATTGATCATACTAATTCTTTATCTATTCTTTGAACAAATTCTTGTGTAGTGTTTTTTTCTCTATATAGAAAAGGCCCTCATATATCTCCAGTATTGATCCAGTAAACTAAATAGCAAAAGCTATTTGCTTTTTGCTTAGCAAGCTTTTGCATTTGCTCTCCATATATTTCATTATATTTTTTGTTATCAGTCTCGAAGTTAGCTATAATAATACATGGAGCATTGATTATTTGACTATAGTTTTTAAACTTTTCAAAGTCATTGATACCCTTAGTAGGTAATTCAACTCTTTGAGTGGCCTCTCCTAATCTGTAACAATGCTCTTGCTGATGTGCTAGAGTTTTTTCTGAAAACCAGATAATAGTATATTTTTTACAAATATGTTTTTTACCATTATGAGCAGTATTTTTAAAAAGTAATCCATTTATATTTTTAATCTAAAAAAAATGTTTTTTTTTGCCTATACTTATTGTCTTTAGATTTTTTAATATCTGTAAGAGCCATAAGATCGATAATATGTTGTCTATTATAGTTCTTACTATATATTACTGTTTTTGGAGTAGCTGTTTCTTCTTTCCATTTCCAAATATTTATAGAGATATTTGGGTTTATCTTCTCAATCTTATTAAATATACATAAACAAATAGGAGTAGGCATAGGGATTCCATCTAGCTTGACTTTTTCTAAATACTGTTGAAATTTTTTTGCTCTAAATATATGTTTTCCTATATAGTCTGTATGCCCATCTTAATAGGCAAAATAAGCATCTAATGCACCTTGAAGATATTTTTCAGATAATGTATTTGTTTCTGGATTTATAAGTAAATAATTATTAGGGTTAATAGTACACTTTGTATTGGCAAGCCTCTTTGGTGTTGAAATAAAAGAGCCTTCAAGAGATCTATGATATGTATATGATTCTATGAAAACCATTTCTAATCAAAGAAGAATTTTGCCAGATTCTTCTTTTAAGTATGCATCAATCTTTCGATTAATTTCTTTAGCTGATCTAGTAATATGGTTATCTATATCATTTTCTGAAAGAAGTGTATATATTTCTCCTCTGTGATATGGATAGTGATAGCTAATTTTATAGTTTTTTATATCCGCACTATCTCCACTTCCTTTATATGTATATTTTACATAGGTGGCATATATGACCAATACTGATTTTATTTGATCTTTTTTGTAAAGCTCTGTTTTAAGAATATCTGTAATTGTTTCACATGATAATACAAATAATTGGGGCATATATGGGGCATCTGCATACTCTATTAGATTGTCTTGGTGCTTATTAAAAGCATATGCAGAATTCTTATTTGATGGTACTATATCTTCCCATATAACCATAGAAGTAAGATTTGGATGTTGCCTTTTAGGATCAGATCTTTTTTTTAAAAATTCTATATTTTTAGAGAGAGGCTCTTCTTCTACAATTTCATCTTCTACTTCATAAATTGACTGAAAATGCTTTTTTAAAGCATACTTTTTCTCTTGGTCTATAACCTATTGAATAGTAGTTTGCTCTTCTTTATAGGCTTGGGTTGTTGGGCCAGAACCAACTTCTGGATTAGAATTACATTGATTTTTTTTGCTTTGATAATGCTGGTGAAGCTTTTGTGAACTTGTTAAAGTTTTTTCACAGCTAATGCATTGATGACTTTTTTTATCTTTTCTAGTTATAACTTATTAAGTCTAACCTTTAATATATATATAAACTTTTGCTCAATTAAAAATATTTAATTATAATACCCTCTATATTTAATTACTTTTTTTGAGCTTGTGAAAAAAAATATACAATCCAATATATGAACAAGCTTCAGGATAAGGCCCAGAAGTTAGATCAGTATATTAACTCTAAAGTTTAGACCTAGTTTTTAGATATATACATGATAATCTTAATCTTTAGATATGAATATATTAATCTTAAATCTAACCTTTAATTTATAAGTTTATCTTTTGGTATTATTTTTTACCCTAGCTTTATAAGCTTAAAAAGGTTAAAAAATGAATTCTTTTATATTAAAAAATATTAGTATATAAAAAACTCATTCTTTAGCCTTTAAAATAGTAATTTGATAAAAAGTTAAGTCTAACCTCAAACATATAAATCTACCATGTCTGGCTAAATCTAACCTCTTCAAGGTTAGATTTAGCACTATGCTAGCTAATAATAAATTAGATTTAGAATTAATTTTAGAATATCATTAAAATTGGTATGCATTTTAGGCTTGCAATATCGCCCAAAAAACACACTCAATACTTCGTATTTTTAGTGTTTTTTGAGTATTATAAAGGCAAGTAAGATAGTATACTTTTTTAATATCTTATTTATATATTAAAAGAGGCCAAGAAGGCTATTTAAGATATAT